CCCCAAAACCCCAAAACCCCAAAACCCCAAAACCCCTTAAAATCTAATAAAGATTGAAGTATGTTATGCATATTCTTAAGCTAATCACAAAAGCGTTTATGCGATTAATTCTTGCATGTATTGTTCTGGAACCTTGCTGCTTAATTTATTCTCTATTTCACTCCTCTTCGAACTGAGTACCTTGTACCATTTAGATTCCTCCGTGATAGATTCCTTTTTGTTAGGAATGCTGTAATAAAATTCATTACCATAAATATCTTTGGCTCTATTAGCTAAGTCAGGTGCTTCTTCTTCAAGTTCTTTCTGCTTTCCTTCTAACAAGTAGTCAATGATAAGCTTGTTCTCCAGATATTCTAAGAATAGACTACCAAATTTGTAAGTATTCTGGATCTCGGTATCAAGACTGCTGAATCTATCAGTGAGTCTTTCTAAGAAATCAGAGTAGTTATCAAGATCGTCACCAGAAAACTTAACTTCATTTTTATTGGTTCTCAAGTTCTCGTTGATATTATTGACTAATTTCCTCAAGTCATCAACAGCAAGAGCTTCTTCAAACATCTTCTGCTTTTCAAAGTAATAGATCTCATGAGGACATCTTCTGAGAATATGGTATTCATCAACAAAATTGTCGTGGTGGGTCTTGATGTTATCAAATTTCATGACTCTGAGATAGACAAGTAATGAATCAGGCACATTTCTTAAGGTAGAAAGTGCACGCCATTTCTTCAACTCTCTTAACTTCTGGTTCCTGGTAAGAATTGAGATTGGGAGTCCTCTCTCAAAGCAAAGTCTGTTCAAAGTAGGCTCGTCTAGATCTTCAATCTCTTCAAATTGTAGGTATGAATCATCTCTACGTAGCTTCTTCATGTACAGAGAGAATTCTCTGAAGAGTATCCTTCTGGTCATCCATTCCACTGCTGGATGATCTATTGGAATTTTAACTCTGAATACCTTTAAAATGTTATTGATGGTGTTGAGGCCAGTGATAGGCTGAAGAGACATCATGTTGCATATTGCCATAAGAGCCTTAGTAGAAGTATATTGAAAGTTAATATAAACTTTAAAGATCTTCCTGTAGTCTAGTAAATCTGTTGTCAGAAAATCCTTCTCTTTAAATTTTCTTCTTAGCTCTGTGATCTTGATTTTATCATCAGGGTCAATCTCTCTTTCTTTTAGAGCTTCTGAAAGTCTTTGAGGGAACATCTTAGATAATTTATGAGCGCTCATTTTCTGTAATTCTACAAGATCATTCAACTTCTTAGATTTTCCAGCATCACTTTGGAACTGGGATGGTAAAGCATTTGGAAAAATCACCAAGTAAAATGGGATAAGAAGATCAGCTCCTGGGATGATGATAAAGACAGAGAAGGGTATAAATTTGAATACATCAGCCCAAGTCTGCCTGATTTTAACTCTTGAAGTGAATGAGTATGACCCATACTCCTTCATCTCCGTATCTTTAGTTGTCTTAATAGAGTACTTGACATCATTATGCAATGTTTTCATTCCCGTTCCTATTTTCTTTATTTCTATCCAAATATGCTTCATGATGAGTTTGAACTTCTTAAAATTCCTTAGACAGAACTCCTTATTCTTCCACAAAATAAGCATGATCTCAAGTTTATTTGCAATTAAGTAGTAATTCCCTCATATCTCTTGACACAAAGGAAGCTTTTAATTTGAATTTTTCTGAATAACTCTTTTGAAGATTAATCATTCCTCGTTCAGACTCCCTTCTCTTCTTAATAAGTTCTCTTTGGGTTGGCTTTTTCTCACCCTCACCTAGTCGGGAACTGAATTCCTTAAAAGCATCTCTGCAGAGCAGAACTTTCTTCCCCTGCCTATCAATAAAATCTGTCTGATAGATGAACTTACTGTCCTCATTCGTACTAGAGTCTTCTTTTAGTGTAGTATCAGGCTTGCCTGATGATTTCTTCAACAGAGAGAAGAACCTCTTTGACTGAAACATTGACAATGAGTTGCACGGTCTTCGCATAGTAGTAAAGGAAGCCCTAAGCCTCATGCCGCACTGCCTCGCAATCATTTATAATTAATTTATTACCAATAAATTTTAGATCTATCTTTAAGAAGAACAGTGGGGTTTTGGGGTTTTGGGGTTTTGGGGTTTTGGGGTTTTGGGG